AAGTCTAAGCTTTGAGAAACGCCTGCTTTTCTCAGCCTTCTGTGCACAGGGGGCATTGTTGGGAAGGCGGAGGAGGCCAAGTATTCTCTGAAGAATCATGGCTTTTAATAAGCCAGTCATGTAGGCTGTTCTACTGTGCTTTCCCTTCCTCCTCTGTAGGCCTGGAGATTCAAGTTAGGCTGATCGAATGTGCATGTTTTTCAAGATATTTTGCTGGTTGGATTTGAAGTGACTTTTTTGTAACACACATTTTATGAGATTTTTATTGGCTGCGTCACATGATATTTCCAGCTCAGATCCCGCTATTTACAAAATACCAAGGAAAGAATTACTAGTAATTTTGGTCAGTTAGCACTAGGTTGCTAGCATACAGTATAAAGATAAAAGCATGTGGACACTTGACTAAAACGCTTTTTGGTTTTTTTTTAAACTTGTTTTTTCGTAAATTGTTAAACATTTCATTTCAAAGCCATAGGTCTCAATATTTTGTTGCCCCCTATAAATTGGGGGGCACTTCGGGGAAGGCTTTCAACAAATTGGAGTGTCTGTGGGAATTTGTGGCCATTCATCCAAAAGAGAATTTGTGAGGTCCAGGTACAAATGTTAAATTGGAGGACTTGGCGTGGATTTTGCCCCCTTTTTTTTTTTTTTTTTTTTTTTTTTTTTATTTTAGGTTCTCCCAACTGTGTTAAATAGGCTTTAGGCCAGGACTCTGTGCAGGCCACAGTACTAAACTCATCAGACGGTAGCTTATTGCCCTGGCTTCCTGCACAGAGGTATATCTTTCTGAAACTGAACCTTCCCAAACCTGTTTCCATAATGCTGCAAGCACACAATTGTGTAAAAACATCTTTATGGGCAATAGCATTAGCAAGTCAGAAATTTGGCCATATAGTGTATTACAGATGGTCCAGCCAGGTAGGTGCAATGTTTTACCCTCTGGATTTCCACAGCCAGTACTGCATTCATTGTTGGCCAAAAATAAAACTTGGGTCTATTATATAAAAAATAAAAAACAATGCTGTACCAATGTGCCTTAGCACAGCCATAATGAATATATCTCTGTAACTTACATTTATTTCCTATGAGCGTCAGTGTCATCTAGTGGCTTTATTGTGGTATTTTCCCACTTGAGGTATTTTAGGAAAACATGGTATTATTGACCACAAGATGGTTTTTGATTGAAACACCATTGTCACAGATATCCTTGTAGATTGGTGATACCTGTGTGCCTATGGTCTGTTCCCGTAACCTGCTGTGTGTCTGTCAAGAGGAAGTCCATTAAAAAATATAGGAATTTACAGTTCTACTTAAAGAAAATATAGATTGCAATTGTTTTAACATCTGCTTTATTGTAAAGCACCAGAAAGCATGTCAGGGAATCAGATTATATCCTTCAGATATGTTGCCAAGATACTAATCCATATTTCTAAAAGGCTGTCTTTACGCCACATTCCCCCCATACTTTAAGGTACTGGTGGGGGGTATAAGGTGATGAAAATGCCTCTGTGAACACAGCAGTTATATATTTTATATTTATTTATCTAGTAGTCTTTATAGCATGTGCTATTATGTATCCTATCTTGACTTTGTTGCTGAATTTTATATGCATGTTATAGCCTATACATATGGATGCTTGGTGCCATTGTTGGATACAAAGGTAGAGGTCTGCAACATATCCAGGTTTTAGTAAGTAAATGTTTTACAAAGTACTTTATTAAATAGTTAAAATAAATGCAACATTGAATTGAAAACTGCTATTAAAAGGAACACTATTATTATTATTATTTATTATACAGTATTTATAAAGCACCAATAGTTCGCTCAGCGCTGTACATTACAAAGGGGGACAGAACATGTGACAGAACAATACCAATACAATGCAAAACATGAGGGGATCGAGGGCCCTGCTCTTTCGAGCTTACAATCTAGAACACTAGAACATTCTCAGAAATGAACCAGTGAGGAGACTACTGTAGAAGAAACAGACTGTATTGCAAATGCACGTGGATTACGGTGCAGAATGAGTTAAATACTGTACACTGCATACATGCATGTGGTACATGACCACAGCCTCCAATATGCACTGCTTGTTAACCAAGTATGTGGCTTATGTCATCAGCAGTTATCTGATTCAGAGATGGAGAATATACTAAGCCAGACCATAGACAGGTCGTTTATCGGCCGAATTTTCGGCTGATAAACGAAAAAATCGGTCATTGCTGGCAGCGATGCCCACGAAAAACGCCCGTTTTCGTGGATTTTCTAGCATGACCGATAAAAGTTAAATGAGAAGATCCGCGAAAAAACAGCCGACGGTATTGCCCCACTAACGGCGTGAATATCGACTAACCCAGTGCTTCAAACTTGGTGCCCAACTCCAAGCAGAATCAATATCCATCCCTGATAGGAAAAGTGCTAAGGATACAATTCATAGTAGTTTGGCTTTCAGTAGGAGACCTTGTTTTCTGACGAATTCTGAAGCAGTGGTCTCCAAACTGTGGGCCAGATGTGGTATTTCTCTCCTACTGATATGATGCAATATTCCTCCTACTGCCACCAAACTATCATTCCTCTCACTGACGCAAATGATAGGGCACTATTTATTTTGCTGACACCAATTAGGGGGCACATTTTTCTTCCACTCACCCGAACAATGGGGTACTATTCCTCCTATCATTACCAGTAATGGGGCACTATTCCTCGACTTAGTGACCACAGGTGATATGAAATTTTTCTACCCCCACTGACCACCAAGCCTGGGGCATTTTCTACCCACGCTGACCACAGTCCAGCCCCCTCTGCTGATAGACTATAAATTGGCCCTTTGTTTAGAAAGTTTGGAGACACCTAATCTGGAGCATGGAATTTGTTCTACTCTGCCTTCATTGATGACTAGTTGGTTTCCTTTTATCAAGGCTATATATGTGTGATGCTTTTTTTTTTTTTTTTTTTTTAATTCCCTCATTGTTCCACTGCTCAGCCATTGTCAATTGTATTATAATTTGTATTTGTTATTACAATTGCATAACAATGTTTTTTGATTCTACCCTAAACATCAATAAACACTTAAAGTCCCTGTACTGAAAACAAAAAAAAAAAAACCACACACACACTTCACAGGTAACAATATGGCTGTTCATTTAACACTGGTTGGCCTTCCAAGACTAGTGCAGTAAACACAAGTCTGCCCCATAATTATAATGTTAGTACTAGTTTCTCATTTATTTGACCTTTTAATTGAAGACACAATGGGGTAATCAGTGTACTCGTATGTTAGAACAGGTTGTGGATGGTCGTGTGTAAATCTTTCACTAGCTTCAGGCTTAACACACTAAAAATGTGCCTAATTAACAAGGTAATTACAGGTCGTGTTACGTACATAAAAATAAGCTGTTGATGTTTGGCATTGTTAGAATGATAGTTAACAGGCCACTGGATGTAATTGGCTGTTAAACCACGCAAAGTAACAGTAAATTCTGGAATGTCTCATTAACTTTAGGGGTGGGAGGCCTACTCTTACCAAACATAGCTGGCAAGATAAAACCAGAGCAGACAGGATGTGGGCATAAAAACATGACTTGGGCTATACCCAGATCATACTCAGAGATGTCTGATAGCTGGTGGTCTATCAGTGTGCTGAATAGCAAAAAGAAATACAGCGTCAATGGAGAGATGGATGGAAAGTCTCAGGTGAGGGCCTTATAGACTTGATTAGCAGAATTTGCGTTTCTGTTTTTCAAGTGATCTTTGAATTCTGCAAAACCCCTCCTATAATGTCTCTTATATAGATCCAAGGTATGTCCTAACGTGTACATTTTAATGAATGCACAGACTCAAACTGTGTCTTAAACATCTTTACACCTTGTGCTTTGACAGTGGAAGGCTTCTAGTTGTGTTCTGGTTAACTGACTTTAGTCTTAGAAATGATACAAATGTGATTTAGAAACTGTAACTTATAAAAGCAGTTATCACATACTTTTGTCTGTCACTCCTTTATGTAATTTTTAAATTTTGCTGTTAAAACTTAGTGTGTTCTTGTGCTTCAGTTGACACTCAAGACTCTTCCATAAAAATCCTTGCTTACAGCTTTAAGCAAGTTTATGGACTTGGATACCTGAGATTATAAACCTATAAAACTCTGTTCTCTGGTTTCATCATATCACGTTGCTGCAAAGATATCAGCGCCATCATTTATTTTCTTTGTTCTTGAAGTTATCCAGAATGCAAACATTGTAGCAATGCAAATATTTAAGACTGATAATCATGTCTTTTGTACTTGAGAAATATATTGGTAATATTACTTTCCAGTTTACGTGAAATCAATACTTTGTTTTTAAGATCTTTTCTCTCTCGACAAAAGTAATTTTTAGATAGTCTTGATCTGTTTTGCAGTTTTCCATATCTTGCTTCGCATAACATTAAAATGTTTTTTAATGTAAATTTTGGTGTGTGGAATATTAAAAAATATAATATATATATATATATATATATATATATATATATATATATATATATAAAAAAATTTAATCTATCTAGCATTTTTTTGTCCTAGCCTTGTGCATTATTTCATTAGGGTCAGAAACTTTCTTAAAGTGTAACTTTGCAAGAAATGTAAGGTCCTCACCCCTCTGTGCAAGCTCCTCTGGGTGAAGGTGATGTTACTGGGCTTTCCCTGAGGATCCCAAATCTCATTAGGCGACTCCTACACAGCCCTGGAGTGTATTCTCACAAGATTTTGGTTTGTCAGCATTCCCAAGGTCCCCATGAGAATGCCCAGTGATGTCATCATCTCCTACAGAAAGAAGACAGAAGCTGGTGTGTAATATAAATATAATATATATATATAAACTGGTTTTACATTGGTGTGGTGGTGGATCCTACCAGAAAAGCTGAACTAGCATTTTGATGCAATGTCCACTTCAAGAATAATTTAATTTTAAACTCAGAGATGAACTTCAGTCAATTTCGCTGGTTCTAGTCTTTTTATGTTTTTTTCGCAGCAGATCCAGTTTGCAGATCAGAAGCGGGAGTTTAACAAACGTCCCACAAAGATAGGTCGTCGCTCCTTATCTCGTTCTATATCGCAGTCATCAACAGATAGCTACAGCTCTGGTAAGTACTGGCTTATGATCCTCTAAACCGATATTGCCCATTTCTGTATTACTGGAAGAGTGTACGGCATTAGGAGAAAATATACAAGGCGCTTGACTATAGAAGACAGCAAAAATGGAGTGCGCAAGTGTTTGTATTTGTTGACCTCCATACACACTAGCAATATTTAATGCAGCACTCCAAGCTACATTTTTTTTCCCTTTTTAAAATCTGCTGTGTAAGAAAAATAAATTTATTCACATGAGTAGGATTGCTTCCCTTTCTTTACTATTACAATTTAATTCATGCTGCTTTGTATAACTTGCTGATGCTGCAACCATTAGAGCTGCAAATCTCATGTGCAGACTCAGTACTGTGTTTATTTGCCCCTCCTATTTTGACCATTCACAGCACGCCTTGTATTTTGTGAATGGATGTCACCTTTCAGTTTTCTGTTTGTGGAAGTCTGATGAAAGCAGACTTATTTACACTAGTGGTGCAGCGAAATGAAAATTCTGGTGCCAAAATCAATACTGAAAATTCAGAATACATGTGGCCGAAAACCAAAATGTCTGCATATGTGGGGGTGGGGAGGCTCCAATTTTTTTTGCATTTCTTTCTACTTTAATGTATATATATTTTTTTTCTGTAACTTATGATTTTATTGCTATTACATAGGGGACCAATAGTCCCCTATGTGACAGCATATAAGTGACAGGTCCTCTTTGTTGGGGGAAGGAGGTGGTGGCAGTGTGTGCAAGGAGGGGGCAGGAGAGGAGCAGTATATACAGAGTGTCTCCTTCACTGGCTGTCACTGTATGTCAGTGCTGGTTTTTAAATGTAATTACTGGCTTGCTTTTTTTCCACGATGGCTCAGAGCATGAACTGTCACTTTCCTCAGAGCTAAAGGAAACGAAGGGGCGGGGTCACTGGGTGACCCCGCCCATTTGTTTCCTTTTAATCCTCCAGGAATGACAGCTCCTTCTCTGAGCTAAAGTAAAGGGAAAAAAGCTGGCCATTACGTTTTAAAAAAACGGGATTGTTTTTAAATGCAATTGCCGGCTTTTTCTTTCCTGCACTATAGCTCAGAGAAGGCGCTGTCATTAAATGGCTAAAATGAACAAAAAGGCAGGGTCACCCAGTGACTCCGCCCATTTGTTTCCTTTTAATCCTCCAGGAATGACAGCTCCTTCTCTGAGCTAAAGTAAGGGAAAAAAGCTGGCCATTACGTTTTAAAAAAACGGGATTGTTTTTAAATGCAATTGCCGGCTTTTTCTTTCCTGCACTATAGCTCAGAGAAGGTGCTGTCATTAAATGGCTAAAATGAACAAAAAGGCAGGGTCACCCAGTGACTCCGCCCATTTGTTTCCTTTCGTTCTGGGGAAAGTGACAACTCATTCTCTGCGCTATAGTGAAAAAGAAAAAAGCCTGTATTTACATTTTAAAATGCAGCACTGACATATAGGCAGCCAGTCACTGTATACACTGCTCCTCTCCTGCCTTTCTCCACACCCCATCTCACATCTGCAATACACACAGTCCGCTGTATTGGCTAAATTTGTTCCTATCGACAAAATGCTGATAGGGCTATTTTTGGACGATATGTTTCGGTAGCCGAAATTTCGGTGCATCCCTAATTTGCACTCATGGTTATATTATTTTACTTTAGATAAACCACATGCTGGTTGTACCCATTTATTGCAAAAGTGAAATAAATCTTAAAAGGTCTTATGATAAGACAAACAGGAATTGACATTAATGGAGAAGTAGGGCCATATTCTTTTGGCCCTACGTCTCCTATGGATCAGAAGAGTGCAGTTCGTTCTGCAACCTTGTGTGGCCCGTTCTCGGCAGACACTGGGGTAAAGACTGCTCAGCTGGTGTCACTCAGCCGGCCCAGGAAAGATCCTGACTTTAAGACTGGATCCACTCAGATACCTTGACAGGCAGCTGGCTCAGCCTCTGTGCACCGCTGAGAGCCTGAGCCAGCTGCTTCTGCCCCCTCCAGTCTTGTGCTTCAGTGAGAGTTGGGGCGCAGAGCAAAGAGCCGACCATTGACAGTCACCATCTCTCTGCTCCCTGAAGACTAAGAATTGAGCGATCAGCGGTCTTTGAAGCAGTCTTAGAAGCAGTGGGGGACAGATGCAGCTCTGGACTGATGCTGCTTCCACCTAGGTAAGTACATTTTATTTATTTATTTTTTTGTAATCTTATACTTCTCTTTTATTAAATTATTTACAATTCACATTGAAAACCTTCTTTGCAAGACAGTTCCTGTACACTGCTTACAGTACATCTTGTAAATTGCTGGATTATTTAGCAACTGAATCAACTGCAAAGCAGGGCTATCCTGGCAGTTGTAATCTGTAATCATTCCCAAACAATTGGCTGTCACTTTACCTAATATTTGTGGGCTGCTTCATAATTCGTAGCCAGAGAGATACTAGTCCATTTTTCAAATGGAAATATGTTTGTGTGGTGATCTTCTTTTAAAGGAGAATTATGGGGTGTTCATAAACCTATATACTCACCTCTATGCTGCAGCATCCATGTGACACTGTGGCTGTCTGGCTGTAAGACCAAGAGCTGTCAGACTACATGACCTCTGACATGTCAGCTCTCAGTTTGCTCACAGCGGAAAGCAATGACTGTCACTGAACCCTGCCCTGCGCCAATAGCTGTCACTGCAGTGCCAAGCTTAGGAGGGGATGGGCATGGCTGGTTCCACTTGTCAGTCACTTGCTGAAAAGTGGAGCCGGCTGTCAATCAGGTAGCTGTGTGCATGCTGACATCTTGCTGGCTGCTAGGCAGTAGCCCACTATCAGCTGACTATGAATCACAGGACAACATTAGTAAATTTACTCCTATGACATGAAAAGTATGGGTAGTCCATACTTCAGTTGCCCTTGACTTTGTATTTCTCTGCCAGGAGTACTTTTCTTATCCAGTTAGTAACTAACAAATCTAAGCTGCTCTGTTGTGAGTTTAGAAAAACTTTCTTCAGAAATGTAAACCCATCCTTATAATAAAAGGTAAGGTTTGGAGGGAAAAGGTTTATAACATTATGCAAGTCACGAGATCTGCCTTTTTAATTTTTTATTTTTTTTTTCCTGAGTGAAATCCAGTTTGAACTGGCTGATCTTTTTCAAGTCTGGGCTTTCTCTCTTCATTCTCATGCAGATATTCTGTCAATGTCATTCCTTTATTAAGCACAGATTTCTAGGGCTTTAGGTCACCGTGGGATTCTAGCCCAGAAAATGCCAGGCTCCTGTCTCACAGGGATTTGCAGGTCAGGCTGTGCCGGACAGAGCCCTGCTGGGGACTGGCCTTCAGGGAAATATTTCTGCACGATCTAATCCTGGGCCCACTCTATTAACTTCTGCAAAGGTCTGCTGCACGGTGCTTGGAATCAGTCTGTTCTTTTGCCCGTTTCATTAGTGCGTTATCCCATACTTCCATCCTGGTCATGTCGTTATGGTATTTTGACGTTTCCCTTGCATTTTTTCATTTGTATTTGCCCATTTAAAAAAATGCTGGATTTGGAGATTAGACCGTGTGCAATCACTGCTGAAACATTTAAATAAAGCGTCTTGTACTCTTCACATACTATACATATGTAAGATGTCAGGTTATCCCATAATTGTAATTCTAGCATAAGACAAGTTGATGCAGTAAACAAAGCGGAGTGTGTTGTGTCTGTAGATCTATACAGCAGTATTGGAATATGATTCAGGTTTGATTTAATGCAGATGCTTATCTGAGTGTAATGAAGGAGATTTGAAGAGATCTGTGTGGTGAGAGGTGGTTCACAACACAAGTCTGTGAGACTTGTTTAAATTTTACCCTATAGAAGCCCAGTGTTGTGCTATCTAATTCTGAGGTGTAGATAGCCAGGGAGAATGCCTAATCAAACATTTTAATGAGGATGGTACATTTTTCAGAAGTCTACTTGGAAGGTGTGCACACATCATAAATGGTTAGAACATGGTGGCGTTCTATGCTGCCCTTCCATGCTCTTCATCTTTCTCCAGTTTTAGAACGCAGCTATAATTATTCAACATGGGTAACAATGTTTTAAACAGGCAAAAACCTTGTTAAAGGGTTTCTTGTTCAGGGAATCCGAAATTCTGAATGCAGATTCATTCATAAATTTGTTGTTGGATTGGCCTTCCATAGGCAAGTGTTGTCATGTAAATCTCCCCTCACAGTTCAATAATAAGTTATTTCACGTAAAACTCTGCAAACTATTTCAGCAGTTCATAGGAGTGACAGGGCAAAGTTTGGGCAAAGTTCTGGCATTGCCAACCATCAGTCACCTTCATAATTTATAAGAAATGTAATTCAAACATTAGCATTTCTTCTAACCTGTGTAAAATGTGTATTTTTTTTATGGCACATCCCTTTAACTGGAATGAAATACAAGCTTGTGAGTATTGTGTTTTCTGTATAATGTTTTCCACCAGCATAACATTTTTTTTTTTTTTTTTTACATTTTGCATTAATGTTTTAACAAAAGTAATTGTTCTCAGTTGGCGTTATGTTCAGAATCCTCTGAACATGCTTCATTAGAGGCAAAATATTGTTTTGCCTTTGCTGATTATATCCTCTTTCACTAGCTGCTTCCTACACAGACAGCTCAGACGATGAGACTTCACCGCGGGACAAGCAGCAGAAGAACTCCAAGGGCAGCAGTGACTTCTGTGTGAAGAACATCAAGCAGGCTGAATTTGGGCGGCGGGAGATCGAAATTGCAGAGCAAGGTAATGACTATGTTTTAATTAGAATGTTAGCATGAGCATTTGTGTGTTCCCAGCGTTGCAGGTTGTGCATCCTTTCATCTCCTTTGAAATCCCATATTTTTTGTTTGAAATGTGAATGGAAAATAGTTTTGGTATGCTAAAACTAGTATTGCCTGATTTACAGATTGTTCAGTATAGAGAGCAGTGCTTGTAAATTGTCAGCTTCCAGTCCTTTAATTTCTTTAAACTTGTAAAGTTGTTGGGAGTGTTGGAATACTATAACGTTCAATTCAAACTTATGCATGCATTTTTTTTCAGCCCTGAGGCAGGTGCAGTTGATTTGGCAAGGTACATCTGCTGTGTGGTAAAAATATCAGCACACAGACCACAAAAATGTGCAAATATATGCTGCAATGATGATCCCTTAGAGCAGGGGTCTCCAAACTGCGGCACAAGGACCGATGCCGCCCTTTGCTAGCATTTTTTCCGCCCTCGGGGCACTATTCCTCCCACTGATGGGCAACAATGGGGGGCACTATTCCTCCCACAACTGGGGGGGGGCACTATTCCTCCCACTGATGGCAACAATGGGGGGCACTATTCCTCCCACTGATGGCAACAATGGGGGGCACTATTCCTCCCACTCCCACTGATGGCAACAATGGGGGGCACTATTCCTCCCACTGATGGCAACAATGGGGGGCACTATTCCTCCCACTGATGGCAACAATGGGGGGCACTATTCCTCCCACTGATGGCAACAATGGGGGGCACTATTCCTCCCACTGATGCCAACAATGGGGGGCACTATTCCCCCCCCCCCCCCACTGATGCCAACAATGGGGGGCACTATTCCCCCCCCCCACTGATGCCAACAATGGGGGGGCACTATTCCCCCCCACTGATGCCAACAATGGGGGGGCACTATTCCCCCCCACTGATGCCAACAATGGGGGGGGGCACTATTCCCCCCCACTGATGCCAACCATGGGGGGCACTATTCCCCCCCACTGATGCCAACCATGGGGGGGCACTATTCCCCCCCACTGATGCCAACCATGGGGGGCACTATTCCCCCCCACTGATGCCAACCATGGGGGGCACTATTCCCCCCCACTGATGCCAACCATGGCGGGCACTATTCCCCCCCACTGATGCCAACCATGGCGGGGGCACTATTCCCCCCCCACTGATGCCAACAATGGGGGGCACTATTCCCCCCCCCACTGATGCCAACAATGGGGGGCACTATTCCCCCCCCCACTGATGCCAACAATGGGGGGCACTATTCTTCCTTCACTGATGCTGGGCCCAGGACATTTTTACCCCCACTGGCGACAACCCAGCCCTCCTAAAGTCTAAAGGACAGTAAACTGGCCCTTTGAAAAGTTTGAGGACCCCTGCCTTAGATACTAGTGACTGTCATTGGCAATTAACAACAATAGTATAACTAAGAGTCCACTCGCCCTCTGTGGTATTACACCCTCACCTGGCTAGAATCGTGAAGGATGTGCCTCTCTTGCTGCTCCATTGCTAGCAATTACAATTATGTGGCATTGCAGCCAGCAAGGGAGGCTAATGCCCATTAAGTGAAGTGGAGCTGTACTTCAGTGTGGCATCAACCTGTGCAGGTTTTTTCTGACATTGCACATGGGTAATGTTTTTGTGACTGTGCTCTTCAGAGTTCTTTTGTATATTAAAGTATAAGTTTACCTTTGGGAACATGTTACATGTTTCACTCGCTCCTGCAGCCTCCCCCTGATCACCCTGCTAATTATGACAGCGCAGGCCGGGAGATCATCTCCCCCTCACCCGCTGTCACAGTTTGAAAATAACAGCCATGCGGGGCACTGCTCACATGGTTGTGTCATTCATTCATAGTTCTGTGAATGAACTACAAGTACCGACAGCCTTTGTGGCTTGCCGTTCTCAATTAACTACCAGGGAGCTAGTGAGCACTCTAGATAGACAGTGACAGGAACGCTCAATGAACTAACTGCCTGCCCGTACAAGGTAAAAGCAGACAAATACACTGACATTCTGCAGAAACCCTGCATTGCACCTACGATCTGCTGAAAAACCTGAAAAAACCTTACCTGCAAAAAAGTGCGTTTTTATTATTTTTAGAAAGGTGTACTTATTCTTTAAAGAAGTTAAAGTTGGATAAGGATTGTATTACAAAAAGAATGGCCCCCCTCTCCAATATTTCTGCATTTACAATCCTGTCGATTTGTCATAATGTACACCCTCTACATTTGTACAGTAATACCACTACTATCACCTAGGTAATCCAGTGTCAGTTTAGATTTTTTTCAAAGGATTGAGATTTCATTACAGTTGAGCTTAATCATAATATGGTTAATGAGTGGTCACTTTGAGGAGTGTGCAATCCGGAGGTCTTCTGTTCTCCTTGATTATTCTTTTTTTTTTTTTTCTCATTTTCCACTTGCTGTTAAGATATAAGCTTTGTGCTGTTTTACTTTGTCAGAGATGCCTGCGCTGATGGCTTTACGCAAGAGAGCCCAAGGAGAAAAACCATTGGCAGGAGCCAAGATTGTTGGTTGTACTCACATAACTGCACAGACTGCGGTAAGCTTGTATCTTTTTGTTTCATGAAAGGAAATTCTACTTGTGTGTAATATTTTCTTTTAATCACATTTCTTAGGTGCTGGAGTCCATGGGCATTTGGGATCGGCAAAATGCTTGAAATTTTATTTGAATATTACTGTGTAGTAGTGTAGATGGGCATTTTCGATGGCGATCACTTGCATTGTGGGGTTTTTGCTAGATGTAGCCCATATGTTTTTAGTTGCGTTTTTTTTTTTTTTTTTTTTTTTTTAATTTCCGTCAATGGGAATGCATTAAATTGCATATTACATCTGCTTTAAGGTACAGTACAGGACTCTGGCTCCTTTTAAATCTTTACCATGGGTTTTATGCTGCCATTTTAGGTGAGGAAACTGACAAAGTTGTTGGGACAGCCAATATAAACCTTCCTACTCCCCGCAATGCTTAGTTTTTTACTAATGCTCTTGGGTGATGAATGACCTCTCTAGTGAGAGCCGGTCTCTAGACTATAATTTTAATTATATTGAAAGATTGAAGACTTTGTTGAAATTTGATTGAAATCTCTTTTCCCCTCAGCTGCAACTGTGCCAATTTTGACTATAGGATTGCAGCTACCATACCATCAGTCTGCCCTCAGCAGCCCTAGCTTTCTTCTGGCCTGTTTACAGTCCCTCGTTTCTTCATCAAGGTGCTTGCCTCGATCCTGCTGCTACTGCACTCTGTGAATTCACATTATCAAATATCTGAATGACCACCTTCTGAAGGATCACTCCACCTCTGCCCTGGTGGCCAATGTTTGGGTAGATTCTCAACCTACAGAAGGCTTCAATAGTTCATCCCACCACTTGGAGTACCTAGGCCTAGTTTTGCACAAGACTCAAACTTGGGTGTTTCCGCCCTGGGAAAAAGAAATCCAATGTCTGGGTTTCCATGGTGATAGTGGTTCTCAAGGTGGCCTAATTTGAGGCAGTGCCAAGTTTCACTAAGGCCAGGACTTCAGCTCAAAGTGCGGACTACGTGGGACAAGCTCCATCAGTTTCCTCAGTCTGTGGATAGTCTAAAGTGCCTATGTCTCAAAGCCAGGATATCTGACCTGGTGGCTGAACAATCCTGCACTGGAAGGTGAAGGGGGGGGGCGTTAACCTGGATGGTTCTCATAAAGGATGCCAGCCTGGGGAGGTGTCCAATGGACATGGTTGTCGAAGTCCACACTTCCCATCAATGTTCTCAAGTTAATGACCATCTGCTTGCCACGGCTGTGTTGGAACATCGAGCTTCAGGGGTGACTGACAAAGGTTCATTTTCACAATACCACAGTCTTAGCTTTTACATTAACCATCGAAGCTGCCCTTTGCGAGGCATATCTATTTTTTGCTTGGGAATTGCATGAACCACCATTTCCAGTAGACATATGTATTCGGATGTGCAAGACCACTGTGTGCTCTACACATGTTTCTATGCTCTAACTCTTTGGTGATGTCTAGAAAACTATTCCTAGAAAGAGAATGCATGTGAGCACTACACTGCTTTTATATTTTGAAACTGGTAATAGTTCTATTTCATTATGTGACCATTTATGGTGTTTGTTAATGCAAGGCTCAAATTAAAGTGACTTTAAACGCAAACGTTTTTTTACCTAAAGCATTCTCTGCATTAAGGTAAAACACCCTCCAATTCAATTGGAAATAATCAGCTTTTTCTAAGGCCAGGTTCACATGTATCCATGTCTGCTTTTTTTTTTTCACCCTTTTTTTTTTTTTTTTTTTTTTTTTTTTAATGCTGAAACTGTTTTATTCGGTTTTTAAACAGTACAGAGATAAAGGTTTATTTCCATTAAATGTACAGGGATGCATATAAACCAGAGTAATGTAAGTAGAAACATCACAAGGTTATTATGAAAGTAAAGGTCATCAAGACATGTTAGGATTAGCAAAGCACCTATAGATAATTAGCTGAATAATCATCTAGTATTATAATGTGAGAGATCGCACTGAAAATGGCATGATGGTGCTGCTGTCTATATAAGCATATAAGAAACAGAACAGTACATTTCAGAGCACCATGTATACAAGGTGAAAGATATTAAGCCCATAGAGGTAGAAAAATGTGAGAGAGAGAGAGAGGGGGGGGGGGGTAATAAGGGGGGGGGGGGGGTAGAGGAGGATGCCATCTATTTCTGAGAGGCCCCAGAAGGAACCGCTACAAAGGCCCCAAAATTGGAGGAAAACCAGGCGGTCCACACTCGTTTGTAAGTCAGTCTTATTTTACTCCAGTGCTATTATGCATTCCAGGTGTTCGATCCTGTTCATATCACAAACCCAATCAGCCAAAGAGGCTACAGGCGGTTGCCGCCAATGTGTAGCGTTGACAGAGCAGGCTGCTGTGAGGAAATGTTGACTTAAGCTTTTCTTGATTTGTCTATAGGAGCCTGGCAACATAGAAAGTATAGTTATGTTAGGTTAATTTTTGAATATGTCCCCAACAAGGTTGTCATATAATTTTAGTATTTTATCCAGAAAGCGATACGTGGGCAGGTGCCCCAGATATGCATCATGGTGCCAGGGGCCTGTAAACATTTCCAACATCTTTCCATCTGGGATGGTAGGGGCAGTTCTATGTAGGATAGTAGGGCATTGATACCACCTAGACCCAATGCAGTAATTGCATTCCTGGGCTTGGCATGATATAGATCGTTTAAAGGAAAGTGCCAGTGTTTTGTCCCAATCCATGTCGTCGGGCAATATATTTGGCTCCCACTCCCATTTAGATTGGAATAGCAGAGGATATGGATGAGAGGCTTTCAAAAGGATTCAATAAATCTGGGATAGTGAGTGTTCCATTCTAGTGGACTGGGAGAGCAATGACTCAAATTCTGTAAGTGGCCTGGTCAAAACTTCTGTCCAGTAGCCTACCTAGAAATTGTGTTGTGTGTTTAATGCCCCCAAAGAACTTTGACAAGAGGAACGTACTCAGGAGAAAGGAATTAGGTTCTTATTATGGAGCGTGTGGCGCAGAAGTGGGGCGTCAGACCTTTGCAAGGAAAGGAATTTGGAGCTAGTAAAAGTTGGAGGGAACGATGTGTTCCTGAATAGCAGTCAAGGGGCTTGGTTGTGATTAGAGTATTTGTCCCATATCTGTAATGTGGTAGCGGTTACGAGCAGCAATAGATCAGCAGTAGGGGGTCTGTGTGTTGTAAAGACATGAGGTTGGAGGAGATCTGGTCATTTTCTAAGAGGGTCCAAAGTTTAGCGGATTTACCATAGTACTAATCAACTATCCGACGCAGCAAAGCCGCATGAAAGCAAGATAAAAGGGTGAGGCAGAGCAACATCTCCTCTGTTCTTGGGTAATGACAAGATAGCAGGGCAAATTTGAGACCTCGTATGTCGCTAGATATAATTACGAATAGCCTTATTTACTGATGGGAGAAAAACCTGGTGGAGGAGTGATGGGGAGCATTTGGAAGATGTAAGGGAATTTAGGTAGCACATCCATTTTGACAACATTCATACGCCCAAACCAAGAAATGTTTTGCTTACAATATTCTTTAAGATACCCTTGGATTATATGAGAAAGGGGTGTGTAATTATCCTATAGGGTAGACAGGGAGGTAGGAATTTGGATACCAAGGTATTTAATAGCCTTTTGTTGCCACTTAAATGCAAAATTAGATTGGAAATGGGATGAGGCAGATGTGGCTAAAGATACGGTAAACCTTAAAGTTTCTTACTGAGCCAAAGTCAGTAAATGCTTTGCTAAAAGGAGTCATGGAGGTTAGAGATGCATAGTAAGAGGTCATCTGCATAAAAGGAGAGCTTACAGTGACATTGGCCAACTGACATACCTTTGAATATTGGGGTCTTGCCTTGCAATCGCTCCATAGTAAGTATATATAACAAGGGCAAGAAGGGGCATCTCTGCTGGGTACAGTTACTTATCCAGATTGGGTCAGAGAGAAGGTGAGGAGCCCTTGCTGTTGGTTCCCTATATAGCCAGAATTTTACACTACATAATGGTCCCAGGGCCCAATTGCTGGAGTGTATCCTCAAGGAGTTAACGTGTCTCCTCCCACCCTTTTTGTTTTTTTATTTTGTTTTTTAAATGTTTGTAAATCGCTTTCATTATCCAGGCACAGTGCATGAAAGTCCCCAAAAATCGGGACATGCCTCATCTGTTAACCAATGCAGTGCACAGATGTGAACACTTGTCTTTTTGTGTTTTCCAAAATGCACATTAAAAATTTAGTCCTAATTCTCTTACTAGTTAGGAAACAAATAATGTGCTTGGGTGAATAATGAATGATAAATATCTCTAAAACCTTTGCTTTTCTCCAGGTTCTAATTGAGACGTTGGGGGCACTTGGAGCACAGTGTAGGTGGGCTGCTTGTAATATTTACTCTACTCTTAATGAAGTGGCTGCTGCTCTGGCTGAGAGTGGTAAGTGATAACTGTAGCTTAGAGGAGTACATTATAGTGACCTACGTTTTCAACACTTTTATGCATTAATCTTAAAGAATTTTTTTATACTGTATCCTCAACCATTCATTCAGACCATTCTCTCAGACTCAAGAGGTTCTAATTTGGGAATACAGTATAACATTTGTGATTGTTACAGGCACAATAATGAGCAATTAATCGGTTCCAAAAATGTCTATAGTTTACGAATGTCTTAATCTGCTGGGCAGAGTTGCAGATTGGATTCAGAAGGCTACAGAGTATAATATTGAGTCCTTATCTGTACCTTGTTCATTTATAACATCATTACATGTTAACCTCTTGCCAACTACATAATGCAGCATCCAAAAAAGTGGGCTTTAATTCACAGTCACTGCAAATATGCAGCCACCAGTGGGATGAACTAAGGGGTAAGATTTTTTTCTGTAGTTTTAAAACAACATTGTAATAGTTATCCTATGTTGTTAAACTGGGACTTCATTCCTTCATTCCAAAATTTGACATCCTGCCCCTTTGAGTTTTCTTGCCACTGTGGTCTAAAGAAAATGCATTTGCCCCCACTAATGGTTAGAAAATTGAATATGTTCTTATAACATTTTCTAACGAAATTCTACTAATGTATAGCCAGCTTAAGGTTAATTTTATTCCTTTGAGTTACAAATGAATAAACCTGGATTTACTTTTTTTTTTCCTCTATTACAAGGGTCCTTAACCTTTGTAATAGAGAGCTCAAAGGTCATTGAAGCCTGGATATCTTGACCAAAATTAGTAGCAATAGTTATGATTTTCAGTAATTGGTCATGTTTTCTCACAATTTATTGGCTTTTTTTTTTTTTTTTTTAAATACTATAATTGTATCAGACAATTATAGTATTAAAGATAGGTACACACTGCCATCTACAGCCTGCAGTGGCTTTTGCAAGATAAAACCGGTTTTCCCACCTGATTGAAGCTTCCGTCTTGCATGGGACATAGAAATCCTATAACTGAGAGACACTCTGAGTTCCCTTGTAGTTAATGAAGACCAGAGGAACAACTAGCACAGTGTCAGCCAGTACCTGTCAAAGGAAGCAATGGTGGGCAAAGATAAACATTAGCATGGGGCTAAATGCTAGTTAAATACTCATTTATAGAAAACTGGCCTTTTATGTTGTGTATGATTAGAGGGCCTTTTTTCTTTGTGAAACTAATATGGGACCAATCTTCATTTAATCAATATTAATTCTGTTTCCAGGAGTTCCAGTTTTCTCCTGGAAGGGAGAATCTGAAGATGACTTTTGGTGGTGTATTGATCGCTGTGTGAATGTGGAAGGCTGGCAACCTAACATGGTAAGACAGTGTACATAAGAATGCAAATTTGTAAAGCATTCAGAAGAAATGTGCTTTTTCAGTGAGAGAAAATAGATGACAGCTTTTCAGTTTCAAATTGTCAAAATAGCATTTGCAGAGTAGGCCAAATGGAAAATTCAATGTGTTCTAACCGGTGTAACTACTCTGGGCATGGTGGGTACAGCTGCCCAAGGCCTGCAAATCTGAATGAAGCTTCCAGGCTTACTGTGCTACACTAATAGTGCTCTCCAGTTAGAACTGAAAATGAAACACTGAAATGCATTTAGGTATATGGGAGTTCTTCCTCCTTTGCTTTTCTATACTTGTCCAGCCCGCAACCTTTTTTTTTTTTTTTTTTTTTTTTTTTTTTTTTTTATAGAACTTACCCTGCACCATAAGTGTCTTGATGTCTTCTTACTGTCTCTCACAGAATACCTGTTTAAACATTTTTTTAAAAAGTTAAATAAAATGGTACCAAAGATGTTTGTCAAAGCCCCCAATCTGATCTAGATCTAGCTTGCAAGTTTAAATATACAGAAAGAGGAAGTTACACTGTGCAGAATGCATTAAGTATGCAACAGTTCAGTATTTGAGGTGCTGTCTGAATTCTTACTGAAATGGGCTAAACCTAATTTAGGTAAAGATTAGAGGTGATTTTTTTTTTTTTTTTTTTTTTTTTTTTTTTTAAATAACGGAGTTAACATTATTATTCTGGTCAAGCGTCAGCTGGATTCTGATGAACAAGCCTAAATTCATGCATTGGTCAGCCCTGTTGGAGGAGCTAAGTGGCTAACTCTCGGCTAAACAGTGACTGCAGTCACTGGTTGGCAGCTCCCACTGTATACTGTCAGCTGCCAGTGCTGTCTGTTAAAATCCAATAGCCATCAATGCTATTAGTTTTTCTGTCATTCCACAAGCTGAACAAATAAAGTGTATGCCCAGCTTATGTGTTTTCTAGGTGGTATTGCTAGTTCATTGATTTTTCTTGTTTGGAAACATTACACATTAGTCTTCTGTTTGGCTGAATGTTAACCAGAGTAATAAAGTGCATAAGCAATCGTTTATTACTGAATAAACAATCTCTGCATGGATGCAATTGTTTATCAAAGTTTAGCACTATTCTGGCATGTATTAACATTTGAAGTGCAACTCTGCTTTCTAAATTTTTGGAACCTGGTAAACCAACCATAAACTGTTCAAATCTCAGCCAGTTCACGAAGGACTGGCCAAGATTTGAACCATGTATTTGTAAGTTGATTATACCGAATTCAATCCATTGCCTTTTACAAGTGATTATTGCCTGCGGCTATATTCACTTGCAGTAATCACTGTGCTCTCCCAGCAGCAGGGACAGCTCCCCCTGTGCATAACCCCCCCAATTCACGGGAGGGATTCCCCATCAAATCACGTTATTTATGGCCTGCCTTATTTGTGTCCTGATAGCTCACTATTTCCAGGATCTCTGTATATTTTTTTTGCATGCATAGATATTGTTTTTCATTTTGCACCTTACTAGTGTTTTATCAAACAGAATCACATCCAGTATTGCCTAAATATAATATTATTATTATTATAATACAGGATTTATATAGAGCCAACAGTTTTCTCAGCGCTTTACAATATAACGGGAGACAATACAGCAACCGTATAGTTCAATACAAGAGGGTTAGGAGGGCCCTGCTCCTCAAAGCTTACAATCTAGGAGGGAGGGGCTAGTGGTACAAAAGGTAGTAGCTGTGGGGGATTTACTGGTTGGAATAGTAGAAGATTCCATTATTAGCTGAGGGCAGGATAGGCTTTCCTGAAGAGAGAGGTTTTCAGAGATTGCCTAAAACTGAGCAGAGTAGGCAATAGTCTAATAAATTGGGGTAGAGAGTTCCAGAGGATGGGGGAAGCTCTGGAGAAGTCCTGGAGACAAGCACGGGAGGAGGAGACAAGGGAGCTAGAGAGCAGGAGGTCGTGCGAAGAGCGGAGAGTACAGTTTGGGTGATATTTAGAGACAAGATCGGTGATGTAATTTGGGGCTGAGTTATAAATGGCTTTATACGTCAGTGTTAGTGTTTTGAATTTTATCCGTTGGGCAATGGGAAGCCAGTGGAGGGATTAACAGAGAGGGGTGACAGATACAGAATGGTTAGTAAGGTGGATAAGTCTGGCAGCAGCATTCATGATAGACTGAAGAGGGGATAGCCTGCGATCAGGTAGGCCAATGAGGATAGAGTTACAATAGTTAAGGCGAGATATAACAAGGGAGTGAATAAATTGCTTAGTGGTTTCCGAGGTTAGGAACGGGCGTATCTTGGAGATGTTGCGGAGGAGAAGTCTACAAGCATTGGACAGCGATTGGATTTGGGGCTGAAAGGACAGATGAGAGTTTAGGATTACACCTAGTACCCTGGCATGAGGGGAGGGACTGATGATTGTGTTATTGATCTTGATGGAGAAGTCAGGGGAGGGGGCACGGGCTGGAGGGAATACTAAGAGCTCAGTTTTGGAAAGATTGAGTTTGAGGAAGTGGAGTGACATCCATGCCGATATGTCGCTTAGTAGGTTAGTAATGCGAGAGGAGACTGAAGAAGTGAGGTGAGGGGTGGAAAGATAATTTGTGTGTCATCAGCATAGAGATGGTACTTAAAGCCATGGGAGTTTATCAAGTGAGGAGGTGTAGATGGAGAAGAGAAGGGGCCCAAGGACAGAACCTTGAGGGACCCCTACAGAGAGAGGGAGTGAAGAGGAGGAGGCAGCATTAAAGTTAACGCTGAAGGAGTGCTGCGATAGGTAGGAGGAGAACCAGGAGAGAGCAGAGTCTCGGAGGCCAAGAGAGTGGAGTTTTTTGAGGAGGAGGGGATGGTCAACCGTATCAAAAGCCGCAGAGAAGTCAAGTAGTAAGAGTATGGAGTAGTGGCCATTGATTTTAGCAGTTAGTAGATCATTTAGTGAGTTTTAGTAGGGCAGTTTCAGTGGAGTGTAGTGAGCGAAAGTCAGACTATAAAGGGTCAAGAAGGAGGTTGTCAGTGAAGTAGGAGCTCAGGCGATTGTAGACTAAGTGTCCTAGGAGTTTAGAGGTAAACATAAACCTTTTTATGTTATAATTTTAATGTCATGAAGGATCATCAATTTTTTGCACAAAATAGAAGTTGGCTTCCACGTAGCCCAGACCATTTCTACCTAGAAAACAGCCTAGGGAGTTTTGAAGATGTTTACAGTGATCCCTTACTCCGGGTGCTACTGTTTGCTTTGAAACAGAACATCGATCATCCTGATCAGTACACAATGGCTAAAGAGAAAGAATGGTGATCTTGCACTGACCTCTAGAATACCACTAGGCTATGGTGAGGAGCCAGTGGCCTGCCAAGTAGAATTGGCACAGCGCGTTGCCTGGATACATTAGAAAAGGAACTTTCAGAGTCCAGAGATGTGGTGTAGCATTTTAATGACCATTTGAGCAGGAAAACAAATCTTACAGTTCCTGTGCAGACTTTTACAACTTCAAATTTTTTTTGGCTTGAAAGTATGAAACTAAAACTATTTGGCTTGAAACAATTTTGAAACCTATTCAGCCCCATTCACACCTTTTTGGGCTTTAACGTGTGCATTGTAAAGCAAAACATGTGTGTCATAAGAAGGAATGTTATTCATTGAGGCTGTTCAGAGCTGTATGCCACTTTGCTCTGCAGTTTGAAAAAATGAGGCATGTCTGTTTTTCTGTGCATAATGTGTAAGAAAATGCCTATGGCAGGGTTATCTCATCATCCTTAGTATGACAAGATTTTACGTTTAATAAAACTGTCCACTGCTGGGCAACAATTGTTTCAGGTTTAGGATACTGCAGTTTGTGTTTACTAAAATTCGTCTAAAAGATCTCCAGTTTCACAGAGTTTGGCTGTCTTTGCAGATACTGGATGATGGTGGGGATTTGACACACTGGATATACAAGAAGTATCCTAACATGTTTAAGAAGATTAAGGGCATCGTTGAAGAAAGTGTAACTGGTGTACATCGGTATGTAGAAGCGATATATTTCCAGAAAAGCCTATTTTTACCTATAGCATGACACTGCCATTTAGCACTTTGTACTTGACCTGTGTACAGCTTCATATATTTTATGCTTATTGTTGGTTACCTTCAACTCAAATCTAATGGTTTCCATACAGTACATTTTGTGCTCATAACACTTGGCCATTACACTATTCAATTATAGGTGATTAACACAGTAAAGCTTTAAGTAAATCTAAACTGGAAGTGGATGACAGCGCTGTGTATTATAAACAATTGCTATATTATTTTTTAATAAATACTTTCATCTGTTTTTCTATTGTATGACAGTGCTGTTGATCTCTTTCAGGCCTTTTTTAGCCACTTCCTGCACATCATTCATTTGGACCAGATTCCATTACATTAAGGTGTTAAAGGTTTTAGATCTACTGAAATCTAATTTTTGTTACAGCATGGTCCACTGCTTATGCTATAGAAATTGCAGCATTTCACAGAGTAGGTAATCATTTTCTTCCCTGAGGGACACTGAAATTCAGCTATAGTTGGGTTATACTGCTGATCACAGGAGGGATAAACGCTGGCAAAACAAATATTGTGGCCCAGTCCAGTATAACTTCTCCTTCCAGCATGCCTCGTGTTTTTTTTTTTTTTTTTTTTTTTGCTAGTGTCCTAGAAAAATGGTTGTCTTTTCTCGGCTCCACTGAGAAAAGTCTAACCTTTTTACTAGCTACTATATTTTATTTTCTTCAGTCAAGATTCCTGTGAAATAGCTACTGAGCTGGTCTTCTCACGTGTCTCTCCAGATCAGCCTTTCTTAACCTCCTTAGCGGTTTTCGGGAGTGTAGCTCGGGGTAAAATTTCAATACGAAGAGCGGAAACCCCGAGCTACACTCGGGCTTACCATGCGGCGTTGCTCAGGGGGTCCCTGCAGCACTTACCTTGTCCTTCGCTCCCGCGATGTGTCCCCTGCAGCGTCCCCGGCCATCTCCTCCGGCCGATGCCGGCATCCGGCTTCCGTGTTCCAGTCCCTGTGATGTCGGCGGGAAGTTTGAAATTTTTAAAAAATTTCATTTTTGCTGTCATTGCTATTTCAATGCATTTCACATATATTTTGTCCCTACTGCTTTGTCCTGTGCCCTGCCTGCATTTTGACTGTTCTTTCTGCCTGGAAACTTAGAAAAGTCTATGGCGTCCAAAAAGCATCCCTTTACGTCAAAAGCGGTTTTAGAACAGCGATAGTAAATCAGAACCACTTGCAGAATTGAGTGATAATGACTCGTAGGGAAATTCGGCATCAGACACTGAAAACTATTTTGCGACTTTGCTCAGCGATGTGCGAATTTGCCTCTGTATTTCAAATTTCAGTGTTTTTGGCTTGATTATATTATTGAATTAAATTTATTATAATATTATTTTTTATGATTATTTATTAAATTATAATTTATGATTTCGTGTTTCAAATTTTATCATATCCGGAATGTTTACTAGACTCTTGTTCGGACAGATTTCAGTGAGTTATTCCTAAAAATTACAGCCTACAATAAAAAAACTACATATTTCCATGCAAAAAAATGGTACCGCTTTCAGCACCAAAAATTGGAAAGAATCATAACGCCGAGGAGGTTAAGCCTTATTTTGAAAGTCGGAACCCAGTTCGACTGGGCGAATGCAGGGCTAGCCTGAATGTGACCTTTGGGCACAGGGCTCTGCATTATAATACTTTCTAGAGCAGTGTGTGCTGTCTAAGTTATTGGCAAATCTTTCTCTTGGTTCAGAGTCAACAGCACAACCCCAGGTGTGACACTGTCTTCTCTGACGACTCACTGTGTGAGTAGGCCATGTGGGTCAAGCACTGGGAGCTACTTTTTCACTAGGACCACTGGGCACCATTTAAAATTCCTGCTTTCCATTGGTTTTACACTGAGAAATCGAGTACTAGGAGTGCTGTGTGTGCCCCAGCTTTTTCCTGCCATTCAGTGTTTCTCTGCTGCCTGCCTACATTGACCTGGTCACCTTCAGGCGCTGAGCCTATTCCTGCTAACCAGCAGCTGAGTTTGGTAACAAAATGAGGCTTAGCCATGTAGCCATTGAGGATTTTGGTAAAAAGTAGACTGCCCGCTCTGTAGATCTTGCAGTATTCCGCCTTAACAAAGCTTTGACCATCGAGCCATCCACCATTGGAGGATGCACTTCTTTTAAAGGAGAATTATAGCCAAATATTTATTTTGGCTATACTTCTCCTATGGATCATATGAGTGCAGTTCTTTTTGCACTCCTGTGACCCATTTTCAGCCAAAAGTGGGCTAAAGTTTGCTGTCGGCTGACGTCACAGAGCCAGTCCAGGTGCTGAAAAGATCTAGACTGGCAGATGGCTTAGCCTCTTAGCAAGCTGCTGAGCGCCTGAGCCAGCTGCTTTCACCCCCTCCACAGCCCTGCGCTTCGTTGAACGCTGGTGGGGAAGAGCAGGGAGCCTTTTGACTGGTAGATTGAAGACTGAAAGCTAAGCGATCACCAGTTTTGATCACTCAGTTCTCAGTCCTAAAGCCGGTGGGGAACAGATGCAGCATCAGATTGATGCTGCATCTACCTAGGTGAGTATAACCCCCCCCCCCCTTTTTTTTTTTTTTTTTCTTTTAATGAAACCTGAACTTATCTTTTTAAGCAGAGCTACAGTCGTTTTTGTGTTTAAGTCAGCGGCTACAAAAACTGTAGTTGCTGACTTTTATTAAACACAGTCACCTGTCCCACAATCCAGCGACATGCTCAACCGAGCTGTCCCTTCTCTCCCTCCTTTTTCCCTGGCGCTAACATCTCAGCTATGGGCACCCAGCTGTGACAGCTTGCGGCTTCACACCTGGGTGCCCACTGCGCATGTGCGAGTCGCGCTGAGGCGTTTCAAGCGGAAGAGGTTCCTGTACCTGTCAAAACTAGGTACCCGCTCCCCCACAAAAAAACTAAAAAATTGCATGCCAAACCTGGAACTTCCCCTTTTGAGTGGAACTCCGCTTTAAGTACCTCATGATAAAAGACTGGAGATGTTTTCTAGGACACTGTTCTCCTTACAGGTTAACCTGTCTTTGTTTAGACACTTAATCTGTTGGAGCCCAGGTGATTGGGCTAAGGCCATTTAGAGGATTTGATCTATGGCAGTGGATCCTTAATCTTAGAGTGTCTGGAACTCATGCTTGTAACTTTGAACTACAGTATGGACTAGTTGTTAAAAGTCTCCTGTCTGGCTTTTGAAGTGTTGGGGCTGTGGAACCCATATGCAAAAAGTTCCTGCTTCACATGCCGTCTCATGAAAAATGCCTCTTCAGAGCTGCCATGTACACACTCATCAAGGATATCGCTGGAGGTAAAAGTACCCATCTTCTGTAGCAGTAAATGCCTAGGGCTCAACAAAGTATTGCTAACTCATCATAGGAAAGTCCTTTTTGTTACTCACAGGTCTCATCCCCCAAGGCCAGACCCAAGTTCGACTCAGAGTCCACTCGCAAAACCCTGGCCTTCTCCCAAAGCCTCAGTTAAATGTTCTTCAGCACAAAGGGGTTGTTCCCATTTTCAAAAATGGGGCGACATCAGTTGGCACTTGTCAACATTTGGATATTCAGCATCTGCTGTATTTCCGGGTTCTAAATGTCTCCATTTTGGCCCAGAAATTTTGCATAGAAAGCACCAGATCCTTTAATCAGAATGTTTGGTCATTCTGCAGATTGTGGATGCATACCGGCATATCCCCATTATACCTAACACATCTCCTCCTTTTCTTTGCTGTGGATACTCTGCACAAGTTTAGTGGCCGAGCCGCTAAGCTTGTCTTTGTTGCAGGTTTTCACCATGGTATTGGCCCCTGTGTTAGCAAGGCATCCCGATTGTGGCATATCTAGATGACCTCTCGCTGAGGGACAAGTGTGCACATGTTCTGGTGGACAACAATGCCCAGACTGTCTATAACTTGAAGTTTAACTAGGCCCTGAGCCTTCACAAGTTGGCATGGAGTGGATTAATCGCTTGGAATATCTGGGTTTAATCCTGGATAATGCTGTAACCAGAGTTCTGCTTCTTCAAGAATTTGTCACAAAGTCAAACTCTCTGCACCTGGACTCTGACTGCATGACCTACAAATTCAGCAATAAACTGGACAGGTTTGTCCCCAGGTACAGGAATCCACTAGTGCAAGCAGTGCATGCTCTGGTGGTTCCGTGGGATCAGTATAAGCTGATCTACAGCTTTCTCCCCTTAAACTCTTAAATTCTTTCTGCTCCACAGGATTGAGAGAAAGGGCATTCTGATGATCCTCGTTGCTCTGCACTGGCCCAGGCAGATGTGGTACCCCCAACCTGATCAGACTCCTGGATCCAGATCCTGTCTGACCTGCATTAGCAGCCTGCTACACTGTTGGTTGCTTTTATAATGACAAGGCTGTTGAAGCCCAGGTTCTGAAAGAGGCATCCCTGAATCAATGGTCCCCACAATGCTGAAATCTAGGAAGTCTATTTACCATTGCACATAGAATGCATATTACACTTGGTGCAAGACATGAAACCTTCACTCCAGGAAATTGTTGGTGAAATGAATCCTCGCCTTATTGAAAATTTGTCATTTGACCCTTTTGTACCAGGGGTCTCTAAACTTTCCGAAAAAAGGGCCAGTGTACTGTCCTTCAGAGTTTGTGTGGACCGGATTGTGGCCAGTGAGAGTAGAAAATGCCCTGACGTCAATGGGAGCAAACAAAGACCCATAATTGGTATTAGTGGGAGGAATATTGCCCCCTTGTGGGTATCAGGGGAAGGAATTGTGCCTCATCATTGGTGTCAGTGGGGAGGAATAGTGCTTCCTTGTTGGTATTAGGGAAAGGAATTTATTATTATTATTATACAGTATTTATAAAGCGCCAATAGTTCACTCAGCGCTGTACATTACAAAGGGGGACAGAACATGTGACAATACCAATACAATGCAAAACATGAGGGGATCGAGGGCCCTGCTCTTTCGAGCTTACAATCTAGAAGAATAGTGTCCATCATTGGTATTAGGGAAAGGAATAGTGTCCATCATTAGTATCAGAGGGAAGAATAGTGCCCTATCATTGGTGCCTGTGGGAAGAATAGTGCCTCATTGATGGGGTCAGTGGTAGGAATGGTACGCAACTCTTACTATCAGTGACAGTAATTATTCCCTACTGTTGGTGTCAATGGGAAAAATTGTGCCCCAAGGGCCAGATAAAGGCAAGCAAAGGACCACATCTGGCCCTGGGCCACAGTTTGGAGACTGCTTTATACCATCAACGGCCAGGTCTCTGCACTGGTGATCTTGTTCCAGAAAGCATTGGCTACCCATTCGTCAAAACCTTTGTACATGGGGGTCTCTTATGTGGTTTCCCCTGAGCACTCCCCCTTTCCCTGCGGGATTTGATCTTTTCATGATCAGACTATTTCCCAGATTTGCAGTGCTGCCACCTTGTCTTTGTTTACAATACCCAAGTTTTACCAAATGACAGTTTACACTTCTAATGTCAGTATCTGGTCTTTCAGGTGACTCTTTGAGCTGCATGAAGTTCCCAGTGCTTTTTTTTTTTATGGGATTTTAGTACAGGATGGCCTACAGCCGGGCTTCTGTATTTTCATTCTGGACTTGCTTCCCTATATTTCATACTCTACTCTGAGTGCCCCACAAAGGAATACTTTCTCACATAACTATGACAGAGACCAGGTGAGAGGGAGCAATTACAAAACTGCAGGCAAACATAGCTTGCACTCTGCTGAAGACCCACTTATCGCTCAGTGACAATGCACCCCTAGCACCAGATTGATTAACTTGGGTACATTCAGCCTGCCTATACATGGTTCGAATCTCGGCCGGTTCCTGCTGAACCAGCTGAAATTCAAACAGTCTATAGCCTTAATCTTTGTCCAGGGCTGAGAAACACCAAGCCTCTTCTACCCCCGAAGATGTAGAGGGTGTATTGGAGGAAGTTACTGAAGAGTTTTCTTCCCCAGAATGCTGCTATGTTGAAGAGAGAGCTTCACACAACATGCTTCCCAATGTGGAACATGCCATCCAAAAGAGCATCATCATTGCGCAGCTTGATTCTCCTCTGTCGTGCCATGCCTCTTTTGGGTACAAGGAGACCTAAGGAATCATTTAAAACATTCCCTGGTCATTAATAGAAGAATCTACAGGTACAAAGTTTGAGATGCTCTTGTAGGCCCTACCTTGCCAACCGTTCTTGCTGAAATTTTAACATGTCAAACTGCAGCTAACCAGACTAGGACAATGAACAAACATGACCCAGTTTTCAGGGTTGTGTCTTGGCAGAGGAATTACAGCAGCTACCTTCTGCTCTGCTTTTCGTGCAGATGCCGTAGAGCAGGGGTGCTCAACCTGTGGTTCTCGACTTCAAACCAGGGCAGTGTACTTGTATTTAATTCTGCAGGTTTGATGCGCTTTCTGAAATCACAGGAGGTTTTGGTGTGCATTCAGAAAGTGCATCACACCCGAAGTCTATTGCAAAGTGCAGCTAACCTGTAGGAAAGCCACAGGAGCAGTACGCAGCACTTGCAGCGCATCAGTGTGAAAGCAGCATTATAGGGGGCTCAGGACAGTAAGGGCTCATATACATTTGCAGTTTGGCAGGCGGAAAGACCCTATAGATGAGACCCCCCACACTTGGACAGGAGGAGCGGCATATACAGATACCGATTCTCCATTTTCCTCCTGCCACCACTGAAAATCAGCTTCTCCTCCTCTCCCTCTTGCCATTCAGCGGCTGCAGAAGGAAGATGTTCATTAAGCTATTAAAAAGAAAAAAAGTGATTTCTGAACCATTTAATTTCATTGTGGCCAGTTACCAAGTCATTTAAGTGGCCTTCGCTCTTCAAAATGTTAAGCACCCCTGCCCCAGAGCATGTCATGAGATACATTTCCAGAATGGGTCTAATCTCCATTTACATGCACAGAATTGTATGGCTAAAGACCTGGACAGCTGGAGCTGCCTGTAAAAAGCTCCTCAGGCCTTTTCAGACTCCTTCTCTTAATCTACTTCTACTCCTGTCCAGCCAAACATGAAACTGTCTGTTTTGGTAGATTTCCATCCCTGCCCTAAGAATGGGGTAGTCCCTCGCCGTAGAAATTTATGGCAATAATCACTAGTCTTTCAGGCTGGGGAGGAGTGTTCCAGTCTCACGGTCCAGGAAAAATGGTCATTTGTGAAACAAATGCTCCCCATCAACATTGAGGAGCAGTTTTGATGGCTCTGCAACAATTGACCACCCTTTTGAGAGCACACCAAGTCAGGGTGCAGTCAGACAGTAGCATTACTGTGCTTTACATCTACCTCTAAGGGAACACCAGGAGTCTAGCAGCCTTGAAAGAAACAAACCAGATAATCTCATGGACAGAAACTCCTGTCCAGCTATCGCTGCAAGCCACATCCTGGTATGCAAAACTAGAACGTGGACTGCCGTTAATGCCTGAAGGTGAATGGGCGCTTTACCTGGATATCTTCAAGCCTACATGTTGGAAATAGGAGGCTCTGGATGTATACATCCTAACCAACAGAGTCAGCAACAGACTAGGTCTGTGTCCAGAACTTAACGGTTGATGTTTGTTATTTAAAAAGAAAAAAAAAATGTTATACTTACCTGCTCTGTGTAATTTCCACAAAGCAGCCCCAATCCTCTACTTTTTGAGTCCTCCGCTGGCGGTCCTGGCTCTACACCCTGCTGAGTGCCCCCCATAGCAAGCCTCTTGCTATGGGGGGGCACTCAAGCAGACTAGCTCCCGAGCTGCGCTCCTGTGAATGGACATTGTCCATTCACACACAGAGCGTGACTTCGCCCCAACCTCTCCTCATTGGCTCACTGGCTGTGATTGACAGCAGCATGAGCCAATGGCTCCCACTGCTGTGTGAGCCAATGAAGGGAGAGAGACCTGGCTCTCATGCACATTGCTGGATCGAGATAGGGCTCAGATAACTATAAGGAGGGCTGAGGGGGGAGCTGCACCCAGAAACTTTTTTTACCTTCATGCATAGAATGCATAAAGTTAAAAAAACTTCTGCCTTTTAGAACCACTTTAAGCACTCTCAAAGGTCAGGTCCTTATCTATTCTCTTTCAAAGACCTGTCTTTTTGCCCTCCATTGTAAAAAAAATAAATAAATAAACAAAACACAAAACAAACTTGTGTATCTCACCTTAAGCCCCCAATGCAGCACCCTGTGCTTCCTTGGGATCTCGGAATTATTCTCTCTGCCATGCAAAAAACACACTTTGAACCCATCAGTGATATTCCATTAGAACACCTCTCCTGCAAAGTGGCCTTTGTGGTTGCTGTCACATCTGTCAGATGTGTGTGAGTTAGTGGCCCTCGCTTGTAAAGCACCATTCAGACAAAGTTAGCTTATGCCCAAAACCATTCTTACTAAGGTGGCTTCAGTTTTGCACCTTAATGTCCTACCATTCTTATAAACCCCAACCCCCCCAAACAAAAAATCATAATGATTTATTTTTTATTGCCTGAATATAGTTAGTCCCATGATCATACTTTCTCAAAATTCTACTAGGTAAATGTCTAATAGCAGCACTCTAAAGTTAGGTCTGTTGAACCTTATTGTTAGACCTGTTGGGTCCTGGTTCAATTCTGTTTTTCCTAGTTGTTGCCCACCTCTCTTATTCATTGCTTGGGGACGTTCCAGAGTCTATGAATACTTTGTGTCCTGTACTGTACAATTAAGATGAATTTTGACTTCCTGTAAATTTTCATATCTTGGTTACTCTGCATTGGCTTGTTTCTACAAAAAGCAACTCAAGGCATCAGGAGCATGTCCTCCAAAGCTTTGCCAGTGTCCAATCACCTGAAGGTACAAGCCTATTGCCCAGGGTCTGTAGATACTTTGCCTGTGTCTTATACTCTCCTGCAACATATGGAATTTGCAGGCAAGTCAAAATTGCTTTTTTATACTTGCTGTAAAATGTACTTTTGGCATTCATTGAGGGACATAATTATGCTCTTTGTGCTGTTTTGCCACAAAACTGAAGCTGGGAGTAGGAGTTATACTGGGTTGGCCCAGTTTTTTCTGGTTTCCAGGGCCTATTCCTCCTGTAGGTAACTTAACGCGACAGTATGATTTCCTGTGTCCTTCAGTGCACTCCATCAAATGGAGTTTGTAAGTGGAAAAAAAAAACAATCCCTATTCTCTCCACTAGAGCCAGGATGTAGCTACCATAGAAGCACAATCATAAGGGAGTGACCACCATCTTAATCACCAGTGCAAAGGACTGACCGCTACAGTATTCTAGAGCCAAGAAGGTGACAGAAGATTAAGCTTTGGTTGCATGTCTAGGAGTTTTACTGTGCCTAAAAATGTGTAATTGAATTCACACCATTTTTTTTTCTTTTTTCTTTTTCTTTTCCAGCTTGTACCAGTTGTCTAAAGCCGGAAAACTGTGTGTCCCTGCAATGAATGTCAATGACTCTGTTACCAAACAGAAGTTTGACAATTTGTACTGCTGTCGAGAGTCCATCTTAGATGGGTAAGAATTAAATAGGTTTGTAGACTGTTAAGTGTAAAAGACAATGCTTTGCAACAACTACTGAAACAAATTGCAGGTCTGCCTCACAGGAGTTTGTAGTTTAATAACTAGTAATTGAGGTTACTGCCCGATTTTCCTTTTATTTTTATACAAGAAAAGATGGTTACAAGCTGTGCACATTTCCAAAATGAAAAGATGCTTAGTGTGGTGAACGTGTTGTAACCGGGTACCCATCAGTACTGCGTGTAAAGGAAAAACAATGTTGCATGCAGGAATTTTGGAATGCACAGTTAAAATTGCACTGCATGCAACTATGTAGATCTAAACTAAAACATTCACCAGTTGAACTCTGGAAGGTCTTACCCCTTTCATAACCAGGGCATTTTTTTTATCCAGCACTGCTTAACTTGCAGTTGCTTGGTCATGCAACACTGTACCCAAATTAAATGTATATATTATTTTCACACAAAGAGAGCTTTCTTTTGGTGGTATTTGATCACTGCTGGGTTTTTTTATACACAACAAAGACAGAAAATTTTGAAAAAAAAAAAACCCTTGTTTCTATTATAAAATATATCCAGTAAAAAAAATCTTCGTAAATTTAGGCCAAAATGTATTCTCCTACATATCTTTGTAGGGAAAGACAAATCCCAATAAATTTTATTTATATATATATATATATATATATATATATTGTGTTTGTGTGTGTGTGTGTGTGTATATATGTGTATATATGTATATGTATGTGTGTGTATATGTATGTGTGTATATATATATATGTATGTGTGTGTGTGTGTGTGTATATATGAATTTATGCAGCTTTGACGCTATATTGGTAATGGTGGGGATATCAGCAACTTATAGTGTGATGACGGGCAGTCTGGCACTAACAGACCCTTGCTGCTGGGAGGTACACTGTTTTTTTTCTTTTTATTAAAAGAAATATCTAAAATATTACATGTACTTAAGTATTCAGACCGTTTACTCAGTACTTTGTTAAAACACTTTTGACAGCAATGACAGCCTCGAGTCTTTTTGGGTATGACGGGGCAAGCTTGAGAGGATTTGCAAAGAAGAATGGCAGAAAATCCCCCAGTCAGGTTGGATGGGGATTGTCGGTGGACAGCCTTTTTCAGGTCTCTCCAGAGATGTTGAATGGGTTTCAAGTCAGGGTCAGTGTTTCAAGTCAGGGCTCTGGCTAGGCCACTCTAGGACATTAACAGAGTTGTCCCTAAGCCATGCCTTTTTATTTTGGCTGTGTGCTCAGGATCCTTGTCAAGTTGGAAGGTGAACCTTCAGCCCAGTCTGAGGTCCTGAGCACTGTGGAAAAGGTTTTCAGTGAGGAGATCTCTGTACTTTGCTCCATTCAGCTTTACCTCAACCCTGACCAGTTTTCTAGGTCCTTGCTGCTGAAAAACACTCCCACAGCATGATGCTACCACCATCATGCTTCACTGTTGGGATGGTATTGGGCAGGTGATGAGCGGTGCCTGGTTTCCTCCAGACATAACATTTAGAATTGAGGCCAAACAGCTCAATCTTGTTTGTCTCATCTCCACACAGGATCTCTGGATCTCAGTCAGAGGTGAGCATAAGATTTTTGGTCAGGTGACCAGTCATGGAAGAGTCCTGGTTGTGCCTAACTTCTTCCATTTGAGAATTAAGGAGGCTGCTTAGCCCCTTGGGAACCTTCAGTGCAGCAGATTTGTTTTTTTTGTAGTCTTCATCAGATCTGCGCCTTGCAATAATCCGGTCTCTGAACTCTGCAGGTAGTTCCTTTGACCTCATGGCTTTTGCTCTGGTACAGTTTGCATTTTCAGCTGAGAGACCTTTTATTGAGAGGTGTGTGCCTTTCTAAGTCATGTCCAATAAATGTAATTTACCACAAGTGGACACTAGTCAAGGTGTAGAAGCATCTCGGCAACAATCAAGAGAAATGGGAGAAACCTGAGCTAAATTTCAAGTGTTGCATAGGGTCTAGATACTTATGCCAATGTGATATTTCAGGTTTTCCTTTTTCATGCATTTTCAAACATTTTTAAAATCCTGTTTTCACTTTGTCATTATAGGGTGAATGAATTTAAACAACTGTAGTATCAGGCTGTGATCTTAGTGCTAGTTCAAGCTGGGGAAGCCAATCTCTCGTAGTCACCAGGGAGAAATCTGCAGGCTGCAGATTCTTCAGTCCCCTGAATTGAGATTGAGCTTTGTAGTCACTTTTGCAGCGGTTGTTTTCTTATACTGGGCCACTGGTTTCTCCCTGAAACCGTATATGTCATTATAACCTTTGTTACTGTACCTTGCGAATAAATTGGTAACTTCAGTCACAGGGGCACCAGTTAATCAGGCACCAACAATTTGCCCTCTTTGAAACTTTGTAAGCTCTGACATGACTTTGTATTACTAGCAGCGCATGTATTGAATGACAATAGTGAGGCTTCCCACCTGTTGGCTAGGTGTCTCATCACATAGTGGATACAAAAGAATGTCACTTCACTTCTGCTTTCAATGTAAAGCATGTCACTTTCACAACTGCAAATCATGTAGTGTTCCATTTTTTTTTTTTTTTTTTTTTTTTTGTTGCCTGACCCCTATATATACACTCACTGGTTACTTTTTTAGGTACACCTTTCTAGTTATAAGAAAATTATCCCCCACACCAATACAGGATGGATCCATGCTTTCATGTTTACGCCAAATTCTGACCCTACCATCTGAATGTTGCAGCTGAACCAGCCTACACATTCACCTCTGACATCAACAAAGCATTTTTGTCCACTCAGCTGCCGCTCACTGGATATTTTCTTTTTTTCTGACCATTATCTGTAAACCCTAGAGATGGTTGTGTATGAAATTCTCAGTAGATCAGCAGATTTTGAATTACTCAGACCAGCCAGTCTTGCACCACCAACCAAGCCATATTAAATTCTGATGCTTGGTTTGAACTTCAGCAAGTTGTCTTCACCTCGTCTAGATGCCTAAATAGCAATTTGTGTTACCAAGCAATGGAACAGGCATACCTAATAAAGTGGTCGGTGAGTGTCTTTTTTATGATTTCAAGACTGGTAATGATATCCCTTAAATATAACTAAAAGACACTAGGATTAGCATGTCTGCAAATAGTAACTAAACTATTTCTTATGCTGGCTACTAGTTTAAGCTGTTATATTCCTGGTATACCTATCTCCTAAACTGTCATTTACTTGTATCTCCTAAACTGTCATTTACTTGTATCTCCTAAACTGTCATTTACTTGTATCCATTTTAAGCCTCTTGTGTGTCTTCTGCTGGCAGGTGAAAGGAATAAAATAATTAAAACTACCTGCAATAAGGTTATGTAAGCTTTCCATTGACACTGCGGGCAAATGGAAAAAATGGCAAGAAGATAAGCTGTGTTTTGTTTGTTTTGTATCTGCTAATCATATTGTAAAGAAATTATCAGTAAAGAAAGATTAATGAATAACTGGTATAAAAAAAAATACTTTGGTTGATGGTAAGGTAAACTTATTCTCTTTTTTTTTTTTTTTGCACGGTGTTCTTTTGTCAAACCCATATACAGCTAACTTTTCATAAAGGACAACTACAACAATCCAAAAGGTTTCTTTTAAATGTATTTGTTAGGATTGCATCAAAATTCTGGTGGCTGTCGGCCGAAATGAAAAAAAAAAAAAAAAAAGCATCCATACAGGTGCCGAAAAAACCCCACCCCTCGCCGCCGGCCACCGCTCGGTAGTTCAGTCTTACCTGACAATCCATTGATCCCGGCACTGGGCATAGAGATAAGTGAAGGAAAGATGGCCACCACACATCTCTATGCCCTTCAAAGTGGATATTTTTCCATAAAATTATATATTCATTTTTAAAACTGCTCCTTTCGGTTTCCGGCCAAGCGCATTTTGAAAAATTTTTTCACCTTCAGCACCAAGAATTTTATCATTTTGTGCACCCACTGTGATTTGTTTTAGAAATGATATAATGATTCCCATATAACACACATTTTTGGTGTGTGTTTTTGGTATATGTTTGGTAAGATCCTTTTTAGTGCATGTTTATTTCTTTTTTTCATTAACTTTTTCTTTTTTTTTTTTAAATTTAATTTCCAACAAAAAAAAAAAAATGAACGACTGTTTCATTTGTGTTCATAAATGCAAATTAGCTTTATTTTACCCTATGAAACTGGGTAACAGTTTATCAGAATATAATCAATTTCTTTAGTAGTCCATTGAGGGACACAGAAATATGAAACATTTGGGTTATTCTGCCTACAGAGAAACCCATTGCAACAACAAAAATGTGAGCCAGATATTTAAATCCTGAGATCTTTCCATTCAGAAAGCGAGTGCAGGTTTTTATTTATTTTTTTAGTAACTCTGGGGTTCTCCGTGACGTCAGCATTTTTTGCAAGTTTCTCTAGTCATCAAATGCTACTGGTAGATTGAAGCTAGATAAAGGAAATCTGAAAGTCTCTGTCAGCAAAGGCGAGCAACTGTTTTCCCAATTTATTTTCAGTACTGGTGTTTTCTCTGTACAGTCTGCAGTGGATTAGCCGTTTTGTTTTCGCAGGACCTCTGGTCAAACCAGTTATGACTGAGAATGCCTATGATTTATCCAGACAAGGCTGAAGCAAGTTCTACTATCTGCTTATCAATGTTGTGGCTACTAGATACATATGGTGGTGTTTGATACAGTGGCAACTCTACCTGACACCATTTTGTGTGGGGAATTAAAGTTCTTTTATTCTGGGCTCACTATTTCCATTATGAAACTGTTGTAAGTTGGCCACATTGGTGAGCCCTGCTGCTATGAGCTTTAACCAAAGAAACTTTCCGGCCCCTCCTTTCTCTCCTAGCTGCCTTGTGTGACGTACATGTTTTATGCACAAACCGATTACAGATCTCCAACCTCTTACACTCATTTAAGCACAGTACTAACCAGCAGTCCTGTACAGAGCCTTTGATATCGTAGTACATAAAGGGAGTCTGGGGGTCCTAATCCTTAAC